TGAAAAGGATAATCTTTTGTTCAAACTTGATTAGGTCTTTCTCAATTGAATTAAATTCAACAATTTTAAAGATAATATCAAATTCGTTATCAGTTAATACAGGCAAAGGAAGTTGCCTCCCCTTCTCCGTCTCAATATCAAGTACAATTTGATTAAATCGCCTGTTAGCTTGCCTTAAGTACATTTTAACTCGAAAATCTGCTTTTCTTAACACACTATCGACGCAATTTAGTCATTTAATTATTTTGTTCAATAAGTACAAACGCTGACTATAAGCAACTGACCACTGTCCTTTTTCTACCCGACCGGATGAGTAATTTTACTATAGGTAATAAGAATTTATTCTCCTTATAGGTGTTAATACACATGTGTGCATACAGATATATGCCTATTAATTTTTCGCATAATGTTGTTATATGTTCCGTAGAAGAAAAATTCTTGCATGGATAAGGCAATTTAGCTTTATGCCCGGGAAAGTTATTTGTTTTATGCTTTGAACTTGAGTACTTAGCACATGGATGCGTTAATTTACATTGCTCTTTGCGAGACTCAACAGTAGAGTATTTGGTACCTTTAGTCATCCGATGTCCCTCGCTAGCACATAATCTACAATGCATTGGAGCTTGCGGAGAAATTCTGCTACAGAACCTTCTTTCTCCGTAGTATTATGTTTATATTTTGAGATTTCACTATGATTAATTGTTTTCGTTTTAGAAATAGTTCTGATAGCTTCATTGCTATGTTCGAATATGTTGTTAAGTGTTGGGTAACTAGTTCCAGCCCGATGTATGACTTCGCGCCTAAAATTGTGAGAAAACCGATCAAATACAAATGGCTGACCAGTTTCAAACCTGGCGTGCCACCTTAAAAGAAAATCAACAGATAGGAAGTTTTAAGTTCAGATAAATCGGCACGAACTTCTGCTAAATATTGTTTTACATTCCCAGATTCAGCATCGTATTTAGTTTGGGTTGTCTATATCTGTTTAAATATCTCATTAACTATATAAGGTACGTCTAAAAATTGTTTGGTTAACAATTCTATTGTAACGTTAAAGCTTTCGTTTTCTAAAGTTAAATGGAACACTTACTGCAAAACATAGTTTGTTAAATAACTTTTTAAAAAATGGCTAACTTAGCTCTATCAGGTTGTACACGATGCACACAATTCTGAAATTGAGCCAAAAACCTTTTGTATTCAAATTTGGTGGTATCAAGCCCGCTAAAAGTCTTACACAGTAATTTCGGTAACGGCATAAACTCACCATTATTAAAGGTATTCACATTGTTATTGCTATTTTGAGTACTAGCATTTTCGAATGATATGCTGGCACTGGAATAAAAATTTTCTTTCAGGACTGCTAATCGAGTATTAATATGACCCTCATAATGTGCTATCATCCCTTAAATCTATCATTGATCCCATTTGCTCATTATTTTTTCTCTATCTATGCAAAGTTTAGTAATTTAATTGTTATTTTCTGAAATCTTAGAAAGTAGCTTTAGAAAGTTACTGCCCCAAAATACATCTTTAGTAACCCTCATTTCAATTTTCAAACATATTCTTGAATATCATTGGATGTTAAATAAAAATAAGCTTCGAGAAATTTCCATAACAAAACAGTCAAAATTTGTGCAAAAATAGGCTCAACTGACATAAAAAAATATTTCTGTAATTTAAATGTTTCAAGAAATCCTATTGGCTAAAAAACAAAAAATACAACATTCGCCCACGCATTTTCTCAGAAAAAATTGCAACAAGCTACCAAGCCGCTGGAGCCGATTTTGTTGTTAAAAACAAAACAAAACAAAAACAAACTATAAATAGAAACAGCAAACGAATTTTCGTCGCATTTTGAGACTCACACACGCAAAGATAGACACGGGAAATATGTGTCAAAATTGCCGCCAAAGAAACAAACTTTCTTTATGAGAGACTAGAAAATTTCATACAACAAACTTTTTCACTTAATATCTTTCATAGAAAAATCTTTTGTCTAAGTTAAATTCAACCTTTTTAGTCAAAGGCAGACAACTTTTTAGACATTGAACATTTCTGAAACAGCAAAGAACTTTTTCTCTATACCTTTGCACACATCATTACAATCTAATAAATTGTAAATTGTGTATATAAAATTTAATTTGTTGTTTCAAATATGTATTTTTGTCGTGATTGAATATCGTTACCATTTGGCCACTTCTTATAATTTATGTTTGTGGATATTGCATATTTTATTTACAGCGCAATCTTAAATATTCACGCATCCTTCTTATATCCACTACATATCTTTCATTAAATCTTCTCTCATTTCTAAAGTTTCTAAGTTAATATTTATATTTATTTTAGCTTGCATTCTTAGTTTTTAATAGAGCTTTAACACCATTTACTTACCATTTTTCTTCTTTTTTTTAAATCACGTAGCAAAGTCACTTATTAGATTCAAATTCAAATAACATTAATAAAACAGAATATTAAATATTGAAGCAATGAATAGATCGTTTTTCTCATAGTAGAACATTAAATCCCTTCTGTATTGGCGTAAAACTTGTTTGGTAAAAATATTTTTTTCAGTTAAAGATTCAAAGTTCAAATGCAACAGTTAACAAATAATTTATAAAAAGTTGAATTATAATTTTTAGATTGTAAAATGTAGTTGAAAACAAATTTCAACGTGAAGTTAGAAAATCACAAAATATATTTAATTTGCATTAAGTGAACAAATATCAAATAAATCGTAAAAAGTTGAAAAGTTTTTAGATCGTAAAATGTTCGTAAAAGCTCGTAAACCTGAAAAACATTCATTTAAATTGTCAAATATTAACGTAAATTTGCAAAACTGTTGTTACGTCTGCCACGATCTTTATTTAATCACAATAACTGCGCAATATTAAGGTAAATTTGCATTAATCTGCAAAATATCAATCTTCATTAAGTTTTCAAAATGGGAATTGGAGTGGATCCCACATAAAATACCCACGTAACGGATGCAGACGTAGTAATAATAAAAGAATAGAACTTAACTGACTTATTATTTGTACAAATTATATTAATGAACACTAAAAATGCATCATTGCAAACTTAATGGTAACTTATCTGCTAAGGGTGAATTGATGTTCTCGCCATCCACGGACTCTGTAGTGATAAGGGTGTAGAGATGACCCATTCAGCATGTGGTCATTCCGAAGGTTAGTAGCAAGAGTAATGATTTGTCCAAAAAGGTAGTAAATTTACACCAATCAGCAGCTGTGGGGGAGGTGATTGTTTGATAAAGTATAATATTGGCTAACCTTAAATTGCCAAGGGCAGATAATCATATAATATCGATATTTATTGTACATACATACAATTATGGCACAAGGCCGAAAAGGGAGATGATTTGAGGCTGGTCTTCACTAACTATCTTATACCTAGCTAATCGGATTCACGACCCATTCACTCGTTACAATTTCCTCATTCACCATAAAAACTCATCCGTCGCCAATCAATCCTCAATACACCATAATACCACACCCTCTCGGGGGTGGGGGCACTATAAAAACGCATCCCAATGAGATGATAAATACTATTTATATTATATATATATAAATTGGATGAATGATCATGAAGGGGGGGGGAGGTGAACCCCAAAACAAAGTAAATATCAAAATAAAGCAAAAATAAACATAACTGATGTTAGTAGGATCCGTCTAACCCTTCGAAAAAGAGAAGCCGCTGTATTCTGCCCTTGGACAAAAATCAAGAGGCTATCTCGCTGAGAGGGGAAAGGAGAATCATACTTATTATAAAACCCAGGTTGTGTGTGTGTGTGTGTGTGTGTGTGTGTGTGTGTGTGTACGTTTATATATTGGATCGGATTTCTTACATTTTTCAACTGATTTCAACAAAACTTCACAGGACTACGTAAAATTACCTTGCGGTGATTCTGACAGCGCCAAAAATTGAAAAAGCAATTGTTTTTGCACGAAATCAATTTGAAAACACGGTTAAGAGACATTGCGAGAATGAAAGGGGGACAACTCATATCGAGTTATACTTATAAAACCCAGGTTGTTTGTTTGTGTGTGTGTGTTCGTTTATATATGGGATCGGATTTCCTACATTTTTCAACCGATTTCAAAAAAAATTCTTTTTTTTTTTTTGGCAGGTAGTGTTTCTTATTGTCTTGCACACTTTTTTTTTTTATTTTTACATTCAGAATGCTTTAAAATTCCATTTACAAGACAATTGTTTATAATAAAATTATATTCAATCGGTAGACTCATAACGATTGAAAACAATGTTTTTGTTTGAGTTTGGGTTTGACCAATTCGTAAAAAAAACCCCTAAAAAACTAATTAAAACATGCGTGTCCGTCAACCATAAACAATAATCTTTGTCAATTTTATTTTTCAGTCTTTATGATGGTCGATACTTGAACTATCTCTTACTGTTACATCCCTGCGCAACGCTGGGCTCTACTGCTAGTATATATATATATCTTATTACTCACAATAAAAAATGCTACTCTTATCAAAGGGCAAATGTCATAAACGTCGTAAATGTCTAGAGGGTGCCTTAATCACAAGGTCATCTACAGTAAATTTGCGCCCTGGCTCTTAGAATATTTCACCATTCCTGGCAGATCTTCTAATATCACAGTGTGGAATACCTACTAACAAAAGTGATGGAAAGAAGAAAAAGAAAAAGACTCTAAAAGAATGAATTCGTCTAGATAAAAAATAATCTAAAATTCCCAGCACCTGTCTGTCGTGCGCATGTGTAGTCCTACCAAGATAACAAATTTTGTCCAATCAAGTTCTAAAGGACGAAACGCGTCACATGTAAACTTTTTCTACTTTGTCACACAATTTCCCTAATATTGTTCTTGATATATAGAAATATACATAGTTATCTTATATATATATATATATATATATATATATATATATATATATATATATATATATATCCGTTTGTTTTATTTTTAGATTTATTATGATGCCGAAAAGAAGTTATTTCGAATGGATTATGTGGAACCCGAGGAAGGAGCTCCTGGTTACAACAAGGGACCTCTGACTCAAATTCATGATTTCAACTCGGGTAAGTCATGCAGAGAAAAACAAGTAAAATTACGGTATTAAATTTGCCAGTACTTTGTTAAACTGACGCATCGAAATATCCTCCTCCTCCTCCTCCTCCTCCTCCTTCTTCTTCTTCTTCTTCTTCTTCTTCTCTGTTCACCAATCTCCCAGATCTGTCGCGATCATGTGCCGGTGCTTGGGTCTCTGCGAATGGTTTCTCCATCCATTTCTTGATATTGTAATTCCACTTTTTCTTCGGTCTTCCCCTCCTCTTATGTCCCCCAACGGCTCCTTGAAGAACTCTTTGCAAGCCCATCCGATCGTGTTACGTGTCCATACCATCACAGCTTACTTTCCTTCACTGTAGTGGGAAGGTCTTTGGGGATGGTTGGAGGTGTTGGTGAAATGTGGTGCTGGATTTTACTGCGTCCCTTGGTCATGTGTTCAAGGTATGAGATGCCCAGGATAGTGCGATACCATCTCATTTCCAGTGTCTGTGTGTCTTTCTTCGTAGCTCAGCTGTGATCGTCCATATTGCGCAGGCATACCGGAATATAGAGATTACCATTGGAGGCAGGAGCCTGATTTTGTACTGCACGGAGATGGTGTTACCAATCCATATGGTCTTCGGCTTAGAGACTGCAGTCATAGACTGTGCAGTTCTTGCAAGGGTTTGTAATCTTAATCCTTGGTCACTGGTTGTATTTGTACGGCGGCACAATATACAAGAAGGAAAGAAACGGTTTACAATCAATACTTGTCTCTGTTATGTTATTGCCATTGTGTTGTTTTTTAAACATTTCCACGTTATTTTTTCTGTTAATATGAGTTGTGTCCATAGCGTAGTGTTTATTAGTGTTTAAATTGGAATCGTCGGCTGTGATCGCTGTAGCCAGTGGAATCTACTGGAACGGAGAAGGCCTGTCCATAGCATAGTGTTTATTAGTGTTTAAATTGGAATCGTTGGTTGTGACCCTTTTATCTAGTGAAATCAAATGGTACGGAGGAGGCGTGTCCATAGCCCAGTGTTTATTAGTGTTGAAAGAGGAATCGTCGGTTGTGACCCTTTTATCCAGTGGAATCTAATGACATGGATCATATCTGACTCGAAAACAAGAAGCCGAAAGAGAGTTCCTCAAGCGAGAAATGCAAGAGAAGAAACTGTTAGCATAGAACTTACGGTTACATAGCAATTTCAATTGTAAAATGATGAGACCTAACTGCCAATCTGGTACTGCGCTTAAATTCGTAAAGTCGAGGTAGCAGAGAGGAAACCATGAAAATTTTTAAAGAAAAGACACAGGGAAGCTACGTTATGGGAAAATCACTGAAGCCGAAATGCTAGGTCAGGACTGATAGCATAGCATATTTTTTAGAATAAACGGAAACACCAGAATGTTGGAACGTTTCTTCGTCTTTATTGTCTTTCAATTTTTCTTCATTTTCTCAGTCACAACGTTTACTTACATTTGCTTTTTTATGTAACAACATTTTCCTCGTTTTGTCTCTCACAACTTTTCCTTTACTTTGTTGCTAATGTAACAAGTTGCAGATCTTCCGGATTTCGCAACATCTTATCTACGAGATGTAACATAATCATACGTAGTAGACATGGTAAATAATACAAGATCATAAATAGTCCTGTCAGATGTCGCAAGATGCTATCTACCAGATGTAACCTGATCATACGTAGTAAACAGTGTAATAATGCAAAATTATAAGCAGCAGATCTGCCAGATGCTGCAAGATCGTATATACCAGATATTACATGATCATACATCGTAGGCATGGTAAATAATACAAGATCATCAGTAGAAGATCTGCTAGATGTCATATCTGCCAATCATATTGTTAAATCTATAATATAAATAGAAAAGTCAAATAAGTAACAGACATGCCAGACGTTACCATCTTGGAATTATCGGACATACTAGATGCAATTTGATTGCTTTTGTTTAGAGGCATATTAACACTTCTATGGGTTATTTAAAGCCGAAATCTAAATATTTTGTACGCAGTTTTATGGATTTAACTACAGATATTTCGTACATAATTTTATATTTTCTGGGCAAACGTATGTTTTTTTAGATATATAATTTGTAGATGATAAAATGTATTGCTGGTATTTTTACTATAAAAATGTATTTTTATACTTTAGTGCTGTATTGATTGCCATTTTGCTATAAAAAGGTATTACTACTGGTCATTTGTTTTATAAATATATTCCAGGTATTGTTACCATAATGTATTTTTGTACATGTGAAGCACCAAACAAATATCAAAACACTATTTTCCCATAGCTGAGACCCTAACAGGTGCTGCCACCCTGGATCAGGTTGAACATGGGAACAACAGCAATTAAGAGGGGGTTCCATGCTCCTCAAATCCTCCAATCTCTCGATCAGAGGTCTTACTGCCGGATGTAGTTTGTCGTCATACCCAGCACTATGCCATATGTAAGTAAGTAATAAGGAATAGTATAGGTTTCAGATGTAACAAAATAAGACCTTCCAGATAAAAGAAGTTGTAAGAAGGTCAGTAAAACTGCCAGGTGTAAAAAGATCCACAGATCTACCAGACGTAACAGGAATGTATCTAGTTGTAGACATACCAGATCTGTCATGATAGAAAGATGAAGATCATAAGTCTTACATGTTGTAATAAAATCCTCAAGCCAGCCAGATGTAGCAGATATGTAAAAATAGACACAGTCGACAGGTCTCCCTTATTTAACAAGGTCAAAGGTACAAAAATTGTCAGGTGTAACAAGATCGTTAGTAACAGATCTGCTGAATATTACCAGATCAAAAGACTACTCAGATGTAACAAGAGTGTAACATTTGACTGGGTAGATTAATAAGAATTTAAGTAGCAGATATATCATCTGTAGGATCAGTAGGTCAGCTAGATGTAAGAGATATGCCAGCTGGAAAATGATCAGCAGAATTGCCAACAAAAAACTAAGATCGTAACAGGATCGTGTGGGTTGTAATAAGGTAAGAATAAGTAACACGCTCGTCGTCAGATGTAACAGAATCATCCCAACCCGGCATGAAGTGGGGGATTATTTTGAATCAATTGATAGGTCTGCTGCTAAGAAGCTTGGTTCATTCTGTCATGCCAGACAATGTTTCTCGTCAGAATCCATCTGCGCATGTATAAATCTACCATTCGGGCGTACATTGAATAATGTTACCATGTCAGGTCTGATTCTCCTCCGGTTATATATATCGGGATTCTCTACAAAATTCGATGAAGTACCTCTAATGGTTTGGTTTGGTTTGTTTTGTTTTACGGCATGTCAACCTCAATGGGTCATTTAATGCCGACAACTTTTTTTTTTCTGGTAATATTTTTGTTTTCTCAAAAATCTATTTCTGTTAATATTTTTTCCTCAAAAACGTATAGCTGGTAATATTTTTTTCAAAAACGTATAGCTGATATTTTTGTTTTTTTCAAAAATGTATAGCTGTTAATATTTTTTCCTCAAAAACGTATAGTTGGTAATTTTTTTTTTTCAAAAACGTATAGCTGGTAATATTATTTTTTCAAAAACTTATAGCTGGTAAAATTTTATTCCTCAAAAATGTATAGCTGGTAATATTATTTTTTTCAAAAATGTACAGCTGGTAATATTATTTTTTCAAGAACGTATAGCTGGTAATATTTTTTTTCAGAAACGTATAGCCGGTAATATTTTTTTTTCAAAAATGTACAGCTGGCAACATTATTTTTTTCAAAAACGTATTATAAGAGGCCTTACTGTTAGACGTAGTTTATCGTCTTACCCAGGACAAAGATGTAGTGTATCGTTATACCCAGGACGCGGATGTAGTTTATTGTCATACCCAGGACGCGGATGTAGTTTATTGTCATACCCAGGACGCGGATGTAGTTTATTGTCATACCCAGGACGCGAATGTAATCTAGGTGGGACCCTAACAGGTGCTACCACGCCAGGTCAGGGTGGACTTGGGAAAACCAGCAATTAAGAGGTAGTTCCACGCTCCTCAGAACCTCCGGATCAGAGACCTTGCTGTTGGACGTAGTTTATCGTCTTACCCAGGACGCGGATGGAGTTTATCATCATACCCAGGGCGCGGATCTGTAATGTTATCGGTCTTAACCTGGCATCTCGATTTCAGTCACTTTTCCACCGCCGTAACGTAGCTTCCCTCTGTCTTTTCTATAAATATTTTCATGGCAGCTCTCCTCCTTGCTTGTTTTTAAATTGTTGTTTTTTTCATTCACCGCTTCCCACAAACATTGAATTGTACATATGGCGACTGGTTAGGACTTTCATAGAGATAATGAGGTATTATGGTGAATGTAGTAAGAAAGCTAAATTAGAATGCTTGTTTTGATGTTAGGGATATTGTTGTATGTTTGGGTCAGTGTTTGTGGCTAGCTACGTTAAAACTGTTCTTTTCCCCTTTCCCCATTTTGACCTTGTGCCACATTTTCTGTATTGAAGCGAAAATAAATATCACTCTCCTACTTGCTACCTCGACCGCATGAATTTAAGCTCACTACTCGATTGCCAATTAGGTCTCATCGTTTTACTGTTGAAATAGCTAGATGCAACCACAAGTTATATTTTAATAGTTTCTTTTCTCGCACTTCTTTCCTCTGGAACTCACTTCCGATTTATTTATTCTCTGTCGCATACAATCTTCAAAAAAATGAAATGCAACGTCAATCACCATTTGTCTTCCTAAAACTTGTTCTTTAACTTTCCATTCTTCTCACTAAAGTCTTCTCATTCTCTTCCACTCCCAGTTACCCGCTTGCGTCTTAGTGGCATTATCGCCTTGTTTGGGTTGGGATGGAATAAATAAATAACAAGATCAGGATAGTCTGCCAGGCTTCGAGAGACATCAGATTTTGTATCAGAAGCAAAGTGATGTGATGCCATACAGAGAGAAATAAAATATTAATTTTTTGTCTCGTCCTGGGTAAGACGATAAACTAGATTCACATCATGGGTAAGACGATAAATTACATCCAGCAGCAAGGCCTCTGATAAGGAGGTTTTGAAGAGCGTGGAACAACCTCTTAATTGCTGGTGTTCCCAGGTCCACTCTGACCCGGGCTGGTGGCACCTGTTAGGGTCCCAGCTATGGGTAAATAGTTAACCCCCAAACTGGTGTCAAAGTTCCATGAAAGTGTAGGTTGTAATACCACAATACATTTTTGGAAAAAATTATTATCAGCAATGAATTTTTGAAGAAAAAAAATATTACCAGCAATACATTTTTGGAAAAAAACAAAAATATTACCAGAAATACATCTTTGGAAAAAATATTAGCAGCAATAAAAATCTTGTCGGCATTAAATAAGCCATTGAGGTTGATATGCCGTAAAACAAACCAAACCAAACCAATATATAGATAGATAGATACGAACAGATTGAAAGGAAGAAATTCAGATAGATAGATAGATAATATTACCAGCAATAAAAATCTTGTCAGCATTAAATAAGCCCTTGAGGTAGATATACCATAAAACAAACCAAACCGAACTAATTTTTGTCATTGCACGGAGAGAAATGTACCCAAGATGTGGGAAGTAACACTGACTATGATATTTTGTAATTCATATATTTTAGGACTACTAGGAATTTTGTCCATATATTTGTTTGCTTCTTTTGATACCATTCCCAAAGACTCAATAACAACAAATAAGGTTACCTTGAGATGCCACATTCTAGTGATTTCTCTTCGTGTAAAAAAAAATGCAGATATAACTACAATATATTTGTAAAAAGAGTATATGAATAAAGACAAAAGTAAAACTTAGCCGACGCGTTTCGTCCTTTGACGATTTGTCAGAGAACGAAACGCGTCAGCTAAGATAAGTTTTACTTTCGTCTTTATTTCTTTCTTGTATTTACTTAGTTACTCAAACATTTTCAAAGACAATGTTTTTGTTGATTTGGGCTGTAAAATCTATCAGAAGACATGAATTACCTATATGACTTTTCTATATGAATGAATTTTCTATTTGACTTTTCTATATGAATGAATTTTCTATATGACTTTTCTATATGAATTTTCTATTTAACTTTTCTATTTAACTTTTCTATATGAATGAATTTTCTATATGACTTTCTACATGCATTTTCTATTTGACTTTTCTGCATGCATTTTCTATATGACTTTTTACTATATTAATGAATTTTCTATATGACTTTTGTACTTGCACTTTCTATTTGACTTTTCTATATGCATGCATTTTCTATATGACTTTTCTCCTTTACTTCTATATGACTTTTCTATATTACTTTCTATATGACTTTTTACAATTATCACAGGTCGATTTTCCTGGATTTCTCGATCGGTCTGAAAGTTTAAATTCCATTTTCATTCTGCACAAGTAGTGATATTATCATTACTAATATTTTGTAGGTGTTGCTTACCTAGTGTACAAAAATAGGGGCTCTTGTGACATGTTTCCTATCGACCAAATTGGAGAAGACACGGTTTCGTTGAATTCTGGAAAAGTCCGAATGAAGACGAGTAAAGAGTTTTTCGGATTTAACAAAAAGAACTTTATCTACGAAGGAGAGGTAAGTCCAGAGATGCTATATACAGCGACAGAAAATAAAATCGCAACACTCTGAATATGCATTTCAATTAACTTAATCAATCCTGGAGGATCCCTGATTTTTTTACGATTATCCTTTCAATGTAGATCAAGCTTTACCGAAATTTCAAGAACATTTATATTATACTTTATCGATCACATTTGTGTCATCTATGAAACACGGGCATAGATCTTTCTTTATTTCTATTGAAGGTTCTGACATTGTAATATTTACATCAATGTTCACATTGTCAACATTAGATTTATTTTCCCACCTGGATCACAATAGTTCTTCATATAGACAACTCAGTATGTGCATAGATTCTAAAATGAGTCGTGTATCAACCCCTACACTTATCCAATATTGATACACTGTATATTCTCTTCCTGTGCCACCACATACCTGTATTCTTGCATGCATAGAGTCATACTGATGGTGAATACCCTCCTTCGATACGCCATTCCATGTTTTTGACCCCATTTACGCAATGTAACAAGGTTATAGGTGGGCTAACTGAAAGAGTCAGACGTCATCCCATCATGTCTCATATACATTTAATGGTGCCAGGTTTCAGGTTGTAAATGCAACGCAGTAAATGATCTTAAAACTTGAAAGGAAACAAATTCTAAATTCTGATATACAAAAATAAATAAAAGCTGGACACTCGTCTACTATGGAGGCTAACCAATCCCTATTGCAGACGCACGTTCAGGCACATTTGTGTTTGCTCAACACCCACAGAGCCCACCTGTGGTTTATACCACAACTATGCTGAGCAGTTACAGTTTCTGGGAGAGAGCGTGTTATCCAGCGTGATCAACAATCTGAACAAGGCCAGCACACTCAAACCCTCGATCATGCTGACTTGTGACTTCATGCTAGCACAACCACCGACGGCTCCTAAGGGTTCTGTCTACCCTATTCTACTCACAAGTAGTTTTCAGACACTTTCCAAAGGTGCCTCACGCTAGGATCGACCTTGATTCAGTCTGATACATCAGGAAGTCGCTTTCCAGATTCGAACCCGGTTTTCATGGCCAGAAAGCGAACGTTCTAACCACTCAGCCACGCACCTATAACATACATATATGCACACATACATACATACACATAGGTACATAATAGATACACATACATACGCACGCACACACACACACATGCACACACACACACACACACACACACACACACACATATATATATATATATAGAGAGAGAGAGAGAGAGTGCGATGGATAAATTGTCCTCTAAATTATGCAAAAATGAAACATCTCATTTTAACAGATATATTTACCAAAATTACACAAAAAATATCAAAAATATTTTGAAATACTAAAGAGTAAATTTATTCTATAAAATCGGCATTGGCTTCAACCATGGCCCCCAGATGACTCCTGTATCTCTTCTGGGTGGTCTCCTTGATGTTACAAGGAGTTGACGGCTGACCTGAGATGGAACAAATACATTGAGTCAATTGCTTCGTCCACCGCAAGGAAAGTTGGCTCCCTGTGCCGCGCCAGAAAATTTTTCTCCCCGGAATCGATCCTCCAGATCTACAAATCAACAATTCGCCCTTGGATGGAGTATTTCTGCCATATATGGTCTGGAGCCCCTTCTGTTTGCCTCGGGGTTCTTGATAGGCTCCAGAGGCGGATATGCAATATAATTGGCCCTGCTCGGGCATCTCGTCTACAGTCACTTTCTCACAGACGCTCTGTCGCCTCTCTCTGTCTGTTCTACAAATACTTTCATGACAATTGCTCCGAGGAGCTGCATTCGGTGGTTCCCAGACTTCATGAGTTCAAGCGCCCTACGAGGCTGGCATCCCACTCTCACCCCTTCACTGTCGAAACTCCTAGATGTAGCCGTCTTTTCTACTCCAATAACTTCATGTCTCGCACCTCTCGCCTGTGGAACTCCCTTCCCTATTCCAGTTTCCCAGAGAGCTATAATCTCCAGCTATTCAAATGTAATGTCAATCGACATCTCCAGTTGCCTTGATCTATCCACTACCCTTCTCCTCATCCTTTCCTCTATCACTCCTATCTGATCTTGCTCCAAATTTTCTGTAACCCCTTGCGTCCTAGTGGCTTCCCGCCTTGCTTGGGGTGAAATGCTTAAAAAAAAAAAGTTTTGTTGGTCTCTCGTTCAACTGCAACCCACACAAGAGGGTTACATTCTTGGGTGTTAGATGGCCAGATGTAAGAAGTGATGTGTCTGACAGCCATGACTAGGTTTTCCTGTTTTTGTGTCATGATCCAGAGTCCTGTTACTAGACAAAGGGTTTTCCAGCAGACACCCTCTTCACCCAGGGCAGAATTATCTCCTCCAGACACTAGATGTAGGCATCCGTGTTGAGTCTGGGGCCCCATCAACTAATCTGGGTGTTGTTTTCTTGCCAGAACGATCAGAGTAAGATTTCCGAGCTGGCGTATCATCATAATCACCATTAGACTCTTCCAAATGTGCAAAATTAAAAATATAAAATGCTGACAATTTACCCATCACACCATATATATATATATATATATATATATATATATATATGTGTGTGTGTGTGTGTGTGTAACAAATATTTAACAAAATTATATATATTTGTTAGGAAACTCATCACAATGTAGGATGCATACATACACGCGTACACATACATGCATTACATACATACTTATAAACACACACACACACATATATATATATAGGGTGTCCATAAAATTCGTGTGAACTTTAAAAAATTTATAACTTTATTTGTATTTGCGATAGAAATAATCTGTAAAAAATGTTATAAAGTTTAATGTACTTAGTTTTAATTATAGCTAAAATAACTAATGTGATTTCAGGCATTACTGTAAATCAGTTGGCAAATATTTTCCGTAAACTGCAAAATCGTATTACCCTTTATATTGCTAATGATGGAGGACATGTGGAAACTAAAATAAAATTTCAATAAAACCTTAAAACATATAGATTTACTTCTTTCTAATCCTTTTTACAAATTATTTCTATCGCAAATACAAATAAAGATATAAATTTTTTAAGGTGAACACAAACTCTATGGACACCCTATATATATATATATATATATATATATATATATATATATATATATATATAGATAGATAGATAGAGAGAGAGAGAGAGAGAGAGACAGACAGAGACAGACAGAAAGAGAGAGATTATCAAAAATTCTTTTACAAACCTTGGGTGGGGGTCCCTCACACCAAAACAAGGACAAATGTCAACATAAACATTTTACCAAGCGGTTATCGTTTGTACCTCAAGACACCAACTTCTAACTAATTTTGCAAAAGTAAGGGTATTATGAGGGTAGTATAAAAGCAAGGGTATCATTCATATATATATATATAAATAAATAAAACTTGATACTTATCTGATTGAGGTTCTATTCAGCATTATATATATATATATATATATATATATATATATATATATATATATATATATATATATACTAACTAGTAACATACAGAATTTTTTCTTCTGATGATGGCCATGCTGGCCGAAACTAGTCGAGAAACCTAAACTATATAATAAAACAAAACATATTAATATACAACCCAGTGTGTCTAAAAATTTTAATTTTTTAATTTCTCAATATTTTTTATTGTTCAAAACACTTACACACTCACGCGCGCGTGCAACACACACACACACACACACACACACACACACACACACACACACATATATATATATATATATATATATATATATATATATTTTGAACAATAAGAAAATAAAAAATTAAAATCATTAGACACACTGGGTTGTAGATTAATATTCTTTCGTTTTTTTATTATTATTATTCCATTTAGATTCCTCGACTAGTTTCGACCGAAATGGCCATCATCGGGAGGAGAAATTAAATATTTCTGCTTGCTGTTAGCAGTGAACTACAGAAATGAATGTCTTTTGTTGGAGAAAATGAACTTTTGTCTGTAGTTTTCATTTGTTTTTTTATTTTTTTTATCTTTTTCACATGAATCTTTTAACATTCCTTGTGTTGGTCAAACAGTCTCTTTTAAGTTGTTATTTGAGATAAGAACTGGATAGATACATTTTATCCTGAATTCTCTGGTCAGTTTGACAGTTTTATTGGACCTGGTGAGGGGATGTGTCTCTGTTTAGTGTTTGTGTGTGTGTTATTTGGTTCTTAGGGAGTGAGTGAGTATGATATGTGTAAGCGTGTGTATTGCTGTAGGTATGTGTTATTATTTGGCTCATTAGGGAGTGAGTGAGTATGCTGTGTGTACGTGTGTATAATCGTGTGGGTGAGTGTATAAGTGTGAGGCCTCCATTCCTCCGTAAGCATGTCTGTCTTGTGTGGGTGAGAAATGTGGGTAGGTTTTGATTTGTTGATTGTTACTATTATATATTGTTAAATTTATGATTTAGCCCGGCTGGATATTGTGTTTTTAGACGTTGTATCCACTTATTTTCATGGGACTCTAAAATCTTTCTAATGTAATCTGCTCTGAACTTTTCTATTCTCTCAATTATAGTGAATCTGGCATGGGTTTTGAAATCGTGTTTTTCTAGGCGGAAATGTTGTTCTACAGGTAATAATTGTTCATAGGGAGTCGATTTAATTCGCTTACGATAATTATTATTTCTGTAGTGAAAGGGCCATTCAGATTTTCCTACATATTGTTTCTGGCATAGTGTGCATTCTAGGAGGTAAATTATGTTTTGACTTCTACAGTTAGAATCGGGGTAGATTTTGAAAGTAGATTTAGTGATTGAGCTAGTGAATGAATTCGTGTTTTTAATATGGTTGCAACATAAACTTCTTTTTATATATATATATATATATATATATATATATATATATATATATATATATATAACTAGTAACATACAGAATTTTTTCTTCTGATGATGGCCATGCTGGCCGAAACTAGTCGAGAAACCTAAACTATATAATAAAACAAAACATATTAATATACAACCCAGTGTGTCTAAAAATTTTAATTTTTTAATTTCTCAATATTTCTTATTGTTCAAAACACTTACACACTCAGACGCGCGTGCAAGCACACACACACACACACACACACACACACACACACACACACACACACACACACACACACACACACACACACATATATATATATATATATATATTTTGAACAATAAGAAAATAAAAAATTAAAAAATTAAAATCATTAGACACACTGGGTTGTAGATTAATATTCTTTCGTTTTTTTATTATTATTATTCCATTTAGATTCCTCGACTAGTTTCGACCGAAATGGCCATCATCGGGAGGATAAATATTTCTGCTTGCTGTTGGCAGTGAACTACAGAAATGAATGTCTTTTGTTGGAGAAAATGAACTTTTGTCTGTAGTTTTCATTTGTTTTTTATTTTTTATCTTTTTCACATGAATCTTTTTAACATTCCTTGTGTTGGTCAAACAGTCTCTTTTAAGTTGTTATTTGAGATAAGAACTGGATAGATACATTTTATCCTGAATTCTCTGGTCAGTTTGACAGTTTTATTGGTGAGGGGATGTGTCTCTGTTTAGTGTTTGTGTGTGTGTTATTTGGTTCTTAGGGAGTGAGTGAGTATGATATGTGTAAGCGTGTGTATTGCTGTAGGTGTGTGTTATCATTTGGCTCATTAGGGAGTGAGTGAGTATGATATGTGTAAGCGTGTGTGTATATATATATATATGAGTGTGTGTGTGTATGTGTGTGTGTAAACAATTGTAGATCGCTATAAATTTTGATAACAGTTTATTCTATCACATTTCTCACTTGTGGAACCTTTTTCCGGCTTCTTGCTTCCCAGTAAACTTTGATCTTCAAAATTCAAATGCAATGTTAATCGTTTGCTTCTGGCTTAATTTGTGTTGTTATGGTGTCGTCTGCACTTAACAGCATATTTTTCTCATATTCTCTAACACCCAGTAACCGCGAGTGTCTTAGAAGGCTTTATTAACTTTTTGGTGGTGAAAGTAATTTTAAAAAAATGCAATGCCCATCGCCATCGTCTGCCTTCCTGAAATCTGTTCCTTTATTGTCCTTTCTCTTTCACTTTAGTGGCTTTATCGCCTTACTTGGGGTAAAATGATTTTTAAAATTACTGATATGTTTATTTAGTTATGTACATCTTTTTATTTTAATTTTTATTTTCCTTTAGAGGAATGTTCGGGGTATCGACTGCGATGTTTGGATTGATACAAGGAATGACTGGCCCCAAAAGAACTCTTCCCAATCCATATGGGAATGGTCATTTTCTTCGGTAAGTCTGTCTTGCAATAATAATGATATTAATAAAAATGATAATCATTGAATGTAGCAAATTATCCCAGAAAGAATACAATAATAAGCATGTATGGGTAGGAAAGGTAAGATATTGTGAATGATGCAAACGACTAAACAAATTAGTTATATACGCTCAAATCAGAATACATCCTACATTTTTATATATATATATATATATATATATATATGTGTGTGTGTGTGTGTGTGTGTGTGTGTGTGTGTGTGTGTGTGTGTGTGTGTTTGAAAATATATAGAAAATAGGAAAGAACTGGTTAGGTAAATAATCCAAAGTTCCTTAGTATTTTAGTTATTATTTTTAAAAAATAGTGCTCGATACAAAAGTAGAGCATATTTTTAAATAAAAAAATATATATATATATATATATATATATATATATATATATATTGTCCAAAAGGTTTGTGTCTTCATAAAGACATTGAAAGATGACTATAATATACGTTTGTTTGGCGTAACACTGAGGTAGCATTACTTCATTAATACATGCTGTATTAAAGGCTGTAATACAATAATGATAGAACTGGAAACTGATCACACTTTCATGCATTTAACGTAATTTTCAGTGACAGTTATGATTGTTTTCATTTGTACCCATTTACCTCTTTAAATAATCACCTGTGTTCGTGTTTATGATTGCGATATTTTGTTAAAGCTGTTAAGCTCAAATACTTAACGATGTGACATGAGAAATTCGTGGCCTTAACCTGTACATCTCATGGTACTCCTTGGAGGGTACTTCAAAAGCAGCTCCTGTATCTGTATCATTTACAGTCATAAAATTAAGGACCAGGGAATTCAAAAAGAGAACACTGAATTTTTAACAGGTACTACGAGACATTATTATAATATTCAGTCAGTCAGTTATGTTGTCATGCGTGATACACGCTTAGGCGATCATGTATCTTACGATACATGAGTAGCGAAGCAGATTTTTTTCCCGCTGTATGTTGCCATTTCTTTCTGCGGTAGACAAGTTGCCATTCAAAGGCTACAGAACCCGGTCTCTCCTACTATTTATCCATAGCTGGGGGAGAAGAAGAGGATTCATACCTTTCCCAAGGGTATTAGCACGTAAGTGAATATAATGGATTTGACTTGAATTCGAACTCGGCTCTCCGATTCCTCAATCCGAGCCGCTATCCATTATAATATTAGTAAATGTTACATCATAATAGGGCAGTAGCTGTCGCACACTTCGCCGACGGAAGATGATCAATTAGCGCCATGCATGACATCCATGTAAGATCTTCGATCCGATGAAACTATTTAAGTACGTGAGTCGATTTTTCAGGCTTAATATATTGGTTTTGTAGATACTAACGGTGTAATGCAAAACTACCCCCAAGGACAGCCTATTCTATGATCAATATCCTTGTCTCTTATACTAAATTTGGTATAAATGACCCATGCACTAACGTATGTGTAGTTTTTAATATTCACTAATTCCATACCCCTGAGTTTTTATGATAGATGATAGATAGACCAATCAGTCCATGTACCACGTTGTGATCTATCTATCTATCTATCTATCTATCTATTCATATTTATCTATCTCGGTCTATTCATATTTATCTATCTATCTATCTATCTATCTATCTATCTATCTATCTATCTATCTATCTATCGCGGTCTATTCATATCTATCTATCTCGGTCTATTCATATCTATCTATCTATCTATCTATCTCGGTTTATTCATATCTATCTATCTATCTATCTATCTATCTCGGTCTATTCATATCTATCTATCTATCTATCTATCTCGGGCTTTTCATTACCTATCTATTTGAACATACAAAACTCTATGATCTAGTCTAGTACTTCTAAGCTCTTGTAGTAGACGTGGGAAAAACTAGGTGATCTATCTATCTATCTATCTATCTATCTATCTATCTATCTATCTATCTCGGTCTATTCATATCTATCTATCTATCTATCTATCTATCTATCTATCTATCGGGCTTTTCATTACCTATCTATTTGAACATACAAAACTCTATGATCTAGTCTAGTAATTCTAAGCTCTTGTAGTCGACGTGGTCAAAACTAGGTGATCTATCTATCTATCTATCTATCTATCTATCTATCTATCTATCTATCTATCTATCTATATCTATCTATTTCATTCTGTTCATATCTATCTTATTCTGTTCATATCTATCTATCTATCTATCTATCTATCTCGGTCTATTCATATTTATCTATCTCGGTCTATTCATATTTATCTATCTCGGTCTATTCATATCTATCTATCTATCTATCTATCTCGGTCTATTCATATCTATCTATCTATCTATCTATCTATCTATCTATCTCGGTCTATTCATATTTATCTATCTCGGTATATTCAAATTTTAAAAGTCAATGTGGCCCCTAAGCCAAAAAGTTTGTCCACCCCTATCTTATAGGAATATCCTTTTATTTTGCAGGATGAAGTTTTGGCAAATTCAGAAGCGAATACGGAGTCTAGCTTCCCAGTTTCTCTGGAAATAACACAACCAAAGGTAATGTAATTGTCGCCAATTCACAGATTAAGATTAAAACTAATTTGTTAATATTCTTAAGATAATTCGTTAAAACAATCAAACCAGTAAATTTCTCTTCTCATTTAATGATATTTATTAATGATAATAATTAATTTATTAATGATAGTAATCAATTTTTTTATGATAATAATTATTATTGAATTATGCAGACGACACACCCTCTCAAAATACTAAACAGTAAATATTAATAATAATAATAATAATAAAAATAAATAGTGAGAGGAGGCCTGACCCATTGAACGTGATGGCCCACCATGGTATAGAGGTGCCGTGGCGCCCATGTAGCAGCCCCCCACCCGTGTGGGCAAATAAGAACTAATTCTAATGGAGACACAAAAATATTGACAAACCTCATCGGTCGTCACGCGGCTCAACAAGGACCGCGATCTCCAGTGAGGAATCAGATTGGAATCGAAAAGTTTGCAACTGGAACAAACTTTACCCAACGAGAAGTAGAGGCAAACCACCCCGAGGACAGTCCTCACAGTGGCCTTCTATATTCATTCAAAGAAAATCCCACAAAAAGAACAATAAATAAATGGTCTAGGGAAGAGTACATTGAAGTAATGATAGCCTAATAAATTCGAAAATGAAGATGATCTTGGATGAGATTGGAATACTTGGGGAAAATAAAATTAATAATCAAACCTAGGGCGTCTTTCTTACTCAGTTTTGTAACAACACTAAGAAACTGATCCATGAATTTAAGAGGATTAAAATAAAACAAATAGACATAATATGTCTAGATTATTCCACCATATATATATATATATATATATATATATATATATATATATATATATATAAAGAATAGATTCCAAAATTACGTCATATGGGAAATAGCCCCAAAGAATATATGAAAAATTATAATGTTTACATTGGAATTTACGCGGGGAAATGGAAACAGAGATTTTATACCCATAGACACTAATTTTTTTAACCATAAACTAAAACGCCAAACAGCTCTTTCAAAAAAAATTAGGAATTGAAAGTGAAAGGTTCCAACTTACAGATAGTTTGGAAAATTATAGATTCCGCACGTACTCCTAATAATCTTAGAGATAGTTGTGACTTTTGTTTAGAAGAAAAATTAGAATAATGAAGTACAATAATCAAAGCCGACTATTGAATCAGAGGAATGAATTAGTTTTAAAATGTCGACATAAAGACAAATTGAAATTTCCATAATATAGTTGTAACATAATTAGCTATGATATTTCCATAATACTCACTCCCTTTTAACTCTTCAAATATCGAAAGTAAAACTAATTCTAATTTCTATATTTCCCCCACTCTTTACACTATATTAATTATAATTTATAAGCTTTACCCTACTCTAAGAAGATCTCCCCAACTCTCTTTCCATTAATCCCTTACATCCTTTTATCTATATATTTTAAAGTTATTTTATACCCCTTTTTATACCTCTTTTAATTTTAAATTAATATTCCATTCTTCATATAATCCCAAATTAATGTCTGGTTGAATTTTATAAAATTTCTTCCCTTTAAAACAAATACCTTCCACCCTTCCCTGACCCCTGTCTCGTACCTTTCGTCTGACTGAAACGTTTAGGTTTCACAGTTAAATTCTTTTTCCCGCCCCATAACTGTATAGATACGAACTTATTGGCTTATGATTCTGTCACTAAAATGGCCTTATTTTAATAAGAAATACTCTAAAAAAACATCGATTTTTAAAAAAAATGCAGTTATTAAAATTTGTTGTTCATGGGTTGCCTCTGGTATTAGGGGCCATGAAGCATAAGGTTTATTAGTTTTCTAGTAGGTCCACAACTACCGACTAGAATCAGGCTTACGGCCATATCATGCTGAAACACAGGTTCCCGTACTATCATCCAATTTAATCAATGCCACGCCTGGTCAGTACCTAGATAGGTGACCGCTTGGAAATACCAGGTGCTGTAAGCTTGGATGTGCGGATGGTGCAATAGATAATTGTCCGGAATTGTTACTTGGACAGCCGAGTTCTAATTCAACTTAGGTTCGTTATATTCACTTACACGCAAATACCCTTGGGAAAGGTATTAATCCACCTCATCTCCCCCCAGCTAGGGGTTAATTAGTAATCATTAAAAACATTAATATATTCCCCTTCCAAAAAATATTACAATTTAAAAGTATTTCTGGATTTAAATAACCTGCAAAGGGTTGATAAGCCGTCAGAAATGAATTAATGAAATACTGATTAGCTACACAGCCATGTCTTTTAGATTTATTTACATTCTCTGGAATATAAATGTATAGAAACTTCCGTGAGCGATCCGTTTATATATTGATTGTAAAATAGAATCGATCCTCCATTTCATATGCACATTATAATTTGTTTATCAAATTCTGATTAATTATGAATCCACTTTCTACACCCCCAGCTATGGGTTAATTATTAATGCTTGTATAACTAAACCATAAGTATATACATCCGCACAAATTCTTACAATCTAAAAGTATTTTCTGTCTTTAAATAACCTGCAAAGGGTTGATAAGTCGTAAAAAACAAATCAATCAATAAAGGTTGGACAATTTCTAATATATTTTAGTTAAATTTCTCCTTTCCAAAATTGTAATTTCCACTTTAAATATAATATTTTTTTTTTGGGGGGGGGACGTTTATTTTTTCTTGTTTTGTCTTTCTTTTCTTGATTCCTCTTAACAATACCCGGGTTAAGGCAAAAGTAACTGTAGTAATGTCCGGTTAAAATACTTGCTGGTGGGAACCAATGGAAGGCAATCCACCGAGGGTAGTGTCTTCTAAGTAAAATATAATAGAATCCCTGACAAACGAACTAAGAAGGCCTTTCGGATATGAGGAATTCTTTACAAAGTCCGGATACAAGGGGTTATATTTAGATTAAAATAAAAGAACTGAAATCAGGTTTAATGTTTATTTTCAATGTTTTATAGCAAACAAAATAAGCTAATATTGAGTGAAATATAACGGAATTAATTTTAAGGAAAAAGAAATAAATTATGTAATGTTAATGAAAATTCATTAAATTAAGTATGCCACGTATGCAAAACAAATAATGTAACGAGGATTTTTAATCGCTGTTGCATGATGATTCTTTCTTTTCTAATGTCATTAACAACTTATTCTGCATTTCGTTTTGCTTTTGTTCTTGAATTTTTTTAAGCGAAAGACAGTTTTTAATTCTCGTCACAGCTGAACGCCGGCTTTCTTTCCATAAAACTGACAACCTTTTCAATAGCTTTTTCAATTTCAGTCCAGCTTTCATTACAATCATGTTTTTCATTTCCTTGTTTATTGTGACAGTGTTAAACGCTGGAGAATAGTTTCTTTGGAAGATTTTATATCATACAATGTTGACTTTCCTCTGTTGAACTCAGCCATTAGTTACAATGAACTTTCACCAGCGTCTAGTCTGTTTAAAATTTCCACTTTTTGCGATAACTCCAAAGTTGTTCTTTTCCTCTTATTCCCATCATCTTTTGCACCAATACAAACCATTAGGGTGAAATAAGCATAAACAATTATCCAAAGTAAATTTCCTGAAAAACAGAAATTTCAAATCAGTTACATATCACCCAAATAGTTCAAATATACACATCAAAATCATGTCCGGATAAGCGGGATTTCGGATCTGAGACACTCCGGATATGAGGAATTCCGGATATGAGGGATTCTACTGTAACATTAGTGAGGTTAGGCAGAATTCAAGTTTCGTCTGAAACTGTACTGTGTCCCTTCAATGTGTGAGCGATCATGGCTCTCCATAACTTCCTGCACTTTGTAGCTCTTAGGAACGTTTGTCTTTTTGCTATCCTCGAAATCCCTATTCTGTCAACCATTTGCACAAGCATGTTAGGGAGATTATTCGCTGGTTTCCTCTGTCTTTCTCCCGCCCCGCTTCCCTTCAATATTTCCTGTGGGCGTCAAATTCTTCAAGTCTTTTTTTCCCTCGTCTGTGCCCGAGAAATTTCAACTGTCTCTTGATTCTCAGTAAAAGTCTCCTTTTTGTTTCCCTATTCCGTAAAACTTCCTTGTTACTAATATATTCAGTTAATAGTATTCTCAGCATCCTTCTGTAGAACGACATAAGTCTTAAGTCTCTTCTTCTTCTGTGAGGAGATTGTCCACCATTCAGTGCCATATTCCAAAATAGCAATGAATTATGTACAATCTTACTGACATTAGATAACAGCTTCCCGCTCTTTTCTTTTGCTTCTGGCGAAATTTATTTGTTTTTTAATACTTTGCTTTGCTTTACTCTATCATTAGGTATTATGATAAAACGTTTCATCTCTCACAGGCCACCATGGTCCCAGGAGAAGAAAGGGTGTGAGTTATTATTTGGATAAAGAGACAAGTTCAAAATAAAAAGCGATTGTCAATTGTGTAGGAAGTCGTCATATTAGTGATACATCTGATACAAAGAATAATGCTAAAACCAAAATGGTAAACATTTCGAATGAGCTACAATTTCTTGTCAAGTTTGGTTCTTGAGGGCCAACTATTATTGATAGACTTTCTTTTTAAATCTGAATAATTTTAAATAATCGAATGTTTTTGCTGTTTATTGCTGATTAAAATATATTAAAAATAAGGATATATATATATATATATATATATATATATATATATATATATATATATATATATATAAAAGGTTCAAACACTAATTTTGAATTTGTAGGTCTGATGATTTGGATCGTGATTACGATTCCAATGTAATAAATTATAACCATGGAATATTAGTGTTTGAGCCATATATATTACATTCTTACTCTGTCCTGGACATTGAGTTCTACCTGGATTCTGTCCTCATTCCTTATGGGAATTTATGTACATATATATATATATATATATATATATATATATATATATATATATATATATATATATATATATATAGATAGATAGAGATAGACCTAGTGAGCCAGACAAACCTATCTAGGTTTCACATAAACGGATCGTCAGGGAAAGTATTACTCTGGCTCACTAGGTGTATCTAGGTCTGCTCTACGGTTGTATTGAGCGCTTTTGTTAGTTAGTTGTTACTCGTATCGGGGTTTTTTTTGGGTGGGGGGCTTCAGACCTGCATCTGTGCGATTTTTTGTCGACAGAAGTTCATGTTTGGAGCTCTTTCTTTTTTAAAACCTTTTTTTCCCCTCGAGATTGATTGATTAGCAAATCAAAAATTCGAGGGTTTTTCGAAACGAGTCTAGTTATCTCTCTCTCTCTCTCTCTCTCTATATATATATATATATATATATATATATATATTATTTTATATATATATATATATATATATATATATATATATATATAATTATTATTTATAAAAATTAAAAACATAAGTATGTTATAAAATCACTACAAAAATAGCCATTTTGTTTCAACACACTCGGTGTCTTATCAAGTGATGATGTTGAAGATAAAAATAAATGGTTTTAAAAGTTTCAGATTAATTAACGATCCTACACTAGGGGGAAACATTGTTACAAAAGCTAGAATAACCAATCAAAAACCAAGTATTGAAAAATTCAAAAGCTTGACAACGAAATCATGTTATAATAGCTATTCAGATCTTTAAAATACGTGTAATATTAAAAATAATTTATACTAACCAATAATTATAAATTTATATGATAAAATTTAATATTAAAATTAAAACTGGTAATTTTAAAATCCAAATTTAATCACTATTAAATTTAAAACTACAAAATTATTGAGAAAAGAAAAAAATATATATGTTTATTCAATTCATTTCTTCATTGAAATTAAGTTCGACAAGACGCTACAATATATCCGGTCATTTGACAATACATGTATATATATTTTTTTCTTTTCCCTTTCTTTTCCTTTTTTATTTTAAAGTTTGTGAATGTGGTCTTAAACTCACGCGCAAAACAACAAAAACACAATCAGATTATAATACATAAGCACCCAGACATATTTAGATATATATATACACACACACACACACACAAAAAGGGAAAGAAAAGAAAAGGCGACGAGATAGGAACATCACCACAACTCTTTATGAAAAAAGGAAGCGGGGAAACCAACACCTATACACACACACAATTAAATGTGAATACACTCTACATATACATACACATAGACACCGATAGATACACGTACACACATCCACAGACAATGATCTAGACAATCAGATACCACAACCAATAAATATTTAAGACTTAAAGTATCATTAAATAAATGCTAACCACTTATTAAATTATAACGTAAGGGAGCAAATATACAAAGATAAAAATGGTTAAAAATAATATTATTTAATATATTAAAACGAAAATTCCAAAACCACAAATATCAATAAAAATATATATTAATCATATAAGTTGATAATAGTTTCATTATATATTAGGCAAAGAAAAACAGGATAAAGAAACCCATAGAAATAAATGTACATTCATACGCATATACATATATATACACGCGGCAGCAAACACAAATTAACACACATAAACATACACTCATACATACATATACATACAGAAATACATACACATAAATATATAAACATAAACATATACGCACATATACATATCTATGATAACAAGTACACATGCACACACATATACATATAAACATAAATACATTGTTGGTTATTGGAATTCATTCCATATATACCAATTATATATATATATATATATATATATATATATATATATATATATATATATATATATTGACAGCTATATATTATCTATCTATCTATCTATATATATATATATATATATATATATATATATATATGTGTGTGTGTGTGTGTGTGTGTGTGTGTGTGTGTGTGTGTGTGTGTGTGTGTTCCGGTGTTCCATTTAGACCGATTTTAAATGTGAATTAAGTTTAAGCGTCTAATGTTTTTTTTTTTTTTTTTTCTATCAGATTTAACAACTTAAGTCTTTGTCAATTTCAACCAT